GTTACCTACTTGCCGAGTAGCTGACGAAGAGCGTCCTGTTCCTCCTTGGTCTCGGCCGCGAGAATCTGTCGGTTGTCAACAATCTTGAGGAGCTCACCGGTCTTGGTCACCTGCACGATGAGGTACACGTACTCATTCTTCTTCATGTTCTTGTTCACCTCAGCAAACACGTAAGCGTGACCCGAAGGGCCCTTGATGTTGTACTTGATGCGAAGACGTGGGGTACCGTCCTTGGCCTGGAGGTTCACGTGCTCAATGCGGTTACGACGACCTTCACGGTGGCCACCGTGGTCGTGGCCGTAGCCGTGGATCGGCAGACCGAGACGCGACGTCACCTGCGTAAATATGGACAGCTACATCAGTCTACAGCGTCTAATAAAATATCTACAGCCACGTACATCGGTGTTCTCCGAAAGGAAGTCCAGCGACTCACTGAAGAGGCCGTTGGGGCTCATACGGCTACACAACGACCGAAATCTGTTAGAATGTCTCTAATATCCAGCATAACACCAGCATCTACGTACTTGGGTAGCAGCTCACGAGCGACGAAGTAGACGCCAACGGCGCCCAGACCAATGAGGCCGAGCCAAAAGCCGCCAGTGGCAGTGGCCGTCACCTTCTCGTAGGGCGTAAGCACCAGTGCATCCGGAGCCTTCTGTCCCTCAGGAGTTGCCTGCCAATAATAATTGCAATAACGCATTAGAATAAGCATCCGTCAGAAGAGAATTCGCGTTGTAGTTCCGCGTCTAACGCTGGATCACCTTGTCAGCGTTCAAACGAGAGCGCGTGGACGTAAAGCTGCGTGTAGAAGCCGCCGGACGGCGAGCCAGCACCAGCAGCGCGCGTGAGCGCTGCTGCTGCGCCGACTTCTGTGCAGCGCGGACAGCGGGGGTGTACAAGAAGCGCAGCATATTGGAGCCCGAGGTGTGATGGAGGATCGACCAGTTCAAGAGCTCCGTTTTGATGGTGTGGACATTGTGTTGCGAATAATGAGTGTTGATTGGCTAATAAATGGAAATTCTATTTACTGCAAGACACGAAAATGACTGTACGCTTCAAACGCAAAACTCCTAGCCAGGGTCAAGTTGACGTTGCTACTTGCACCCGGAGCCGCCGGCAAGAACGAGGCAGGCAGTGCCCGGGAAAACCGAAAGCAGATTCGTGGTGACGGACCAGAGCAGAGCGAAGGAGAAGATGAAGACAGTGGCGACGCCGCCCCAGAAGCACTGTCGGGCACGGCGCTTAAGAGCTTGGGTCTCACGCTTCTGACGAGGCAGCAATGGCAGCCACGCCAGGGACAGCAACTTCATGATATACGCAATCACGAACGTCCATGTGACTTGCCAACGCACGTGCTTTGAGTCGCGGATAATGTCA